GTGACCAGCTGAGCACTTTATCATGACACCATTGTTGTTGTTAAGTACTGTCGAGTCAATTCTGACCCATAGCGACCCTGTATAGGGTTTCTGAGGCTATAAATCTTTACAGGAGCAGAAAGCCTCTTCTTTCTCCCGCGGAACAGCTGGTAGTTTCGAACTACTGACGTTGCGGTTCGCAGCCCGATTCATAACCACTACGCTACCAGAGATTCTTTAGAGCTCCTTTAACTAAGATAAGGGGTATCTTAACATGGGACCCACAGAGGGGTTGGGGAGGGGATTGTTAGTGTCCTTCATGAAATTGTATGTAAAACTGTGTGCGCGTGCACGCATTTATCTGGAAAGAACCCTTATAGTTCTCTTCAGCTTCTCAAATAAATTCATTATCCAACTCCTGTACAGGATTTCCGAGGCTGTAAATCCTTACGGGAGCAGAAATCCTCAGCTTTCTCCCACGGAACAGCTGGTAGTTTAGGACTGCTGACCCTGCAATTAGCAGCCCAATTCGTAACCACTATGCTACCAGAGCTCCTTATCCAACTCCTTTAGCTGGAGGGAAACTAAGAAGCATCGCTAGCATGCTGCCTCACCAGAATTCAATCTTGCCCTAAATTTTCAGTCATGGAACAGGTAAAGAGCTCTATCTATGGTCTGAGCCAGGACACCTGCGTTCTACAGTCACCCACCTTGACTTCGTAAGCAAGCCATTTAGACTCCTTAAGTCCTCCTTCTGCAAGAATATATATCAGACAAGCTTTGAGCTCCCTGCTAATCTACTCATCATTCTAGGATGCATTTTCCCTCCTCCCCTCCAAGAAATAAAGAGGCATATCACTTAGGACACTTCATTTAGAAGCATACATTCTGGTTCTAGAATGATCTGTAGGTTCATAAGCCAGGATATGGAGTGGAAGATGTCGCTGATAAGTGAAACAAAAGAAGACTATCTGGTGTAGGATAAACACCAAACTACTAACCACAAGTGTTGGCAGTTCAAACCCACCAGCGAGTCAGAACTGACTCCATGGCACTTAACAACAATGGGCCATCCAAGTGAAGACGGGAGTCAAAAAAATGATTTGTGTTGAAGGTAGAGATTTGGGATTCATTAGTACTAAAAGGATCATACGATCCCCTAGAGTTTGCTAAATGAGCAGGTGACACAAAGAAGACTGAGGATGGAATCCAAAGACTCCAGTATGTCCATATTCTTTCTCCTACAGGCACTTTCATAATATTCTTTCCCTCTAAGCTCTTTTATAATCTCTCTCTCTTCTCCCCCCACCCCTCTCATTGAGTTGACAAGGTAAATTATATCTAAGAATAACATAATTTGGTAAAACAAATAGTCAGAATTCACTTTCTATCTTCCCCCATTTAATTTTGATTGCTTTACAATGGGACGAATGGAAAACATCTAGGAATCAGAGATTTTACTCGGTTTTAAATAAAAAGCACACACCCCAAAATAAAGAAATAAATAATAAAAGTGACATATCATTTAAAGCAAGACAAAGACCTCCAGAATCCAGCTGCTAAAGCACTTACTTGTAATATGGGCCATTGGAATACACGTTCCTTCTTCTGGCATGTCAGCTCTGAAGATGGAAATCCAAGGGGAACTGAGACCAGGGCATGCTCTAGCTAGTCTGCAAATCCTGACACCATTGTGTCCCAATACAGGGCAGAGGCAATGGACGTTCACTGATGACCCCAAGCCGTTTAGCAGACTGTGGCAACTTCCCCCAACTCCTCTCTGTCTTTATATACTTGAGTGTATGTATGTCTGTTACTGGCACAACACACTAATTAGCTCATTTTACCTTTCTTGCTTTCTCATTATTGTTAATGAGAAAAAGAAGTTTAAAAAAGGATTAAAAAGATAAAGGGCCAAAAAGGAAGGGCAAAAGAGAAGCCAAAAGCTGGCTTCCTTCCTAATTGGATCAGCAGGCTTAAGAAAAAGATGCCGATCTTTCTCTGTCTCATCCTAAGACAATCTGAGCTCAACTGAAGGTTTGCAAAGCAAAAAGTCCTCAAGACCAGAAGGACCCTGGGAGAGGTTCCAACCATCCAAAATAACCAGACCAAAGCTAATTGCCAAGACTCATGTAAAGGGGAGCCATTGCAAATTTGTCTCAGCTTCAAGTTAGAAAAAAATCACCAAGATTGTTGACCCGTGATTGGACTTCCTAGCTAAGAAAGAGCCCATCAAAGGCATTTTTCCACCCTCAGGTCTTTAAACTTTATTTGCATACTTAAAAAAAGTATACTTTCCAATAATTAAACTCATTTCAACAACAACAACAAAAAAAAATGGCATGAATCAGGGCCTTATCTTTATGGATCGATCAGATGACATCTTAGGAATATATATACCACATTTTGTTTAATCATTCATTCACTGATGGACAAGAGGCTGTTTCCACATTTTTGCTACTGTGAATTATGCTGCAGGGCACAGCAGTGTATAAGTATGTGAATCTCTTGCTTTTGGGTACATACCCAGGAGAGAAATTGCTGGCTCATATGGTGATCCTATGAGTAAGTAACCTTTTCAGAATCTGCTGTACTGATTTCTCACCAGCAATGTACAAGGGTTCCAATTTCTCCACCCCTTCACCAACACTTGTTATTTTCCTCAGATCACACTTTGTTGTTGTTGCTGTTATGTGCTGTGGAGTCGATTCCAACTCACAGCGACCATGTAGAGGGTTTCTGAGGCTGTAAATCTTTACGGGAGCAGAAAGCCTCATCTTTCTCCCACGGAACAGCTGGTAGTTTCGAACTGCTGACTGTGAGATTAGCAGCCCAATTCGTAACCACTATGCTACCAGAGCTCCTTCAGATCACAATTAGAGGAACTTTAAGTTACCACTGCATTGCACACTGATTCTTCAAGAGTCAAGGACCCCTGCATTAGCATCACTTGGGGACTTGCTCAGCTTGTTACACATGCCAATACCTTGGCATTATCCTACACTCTTTTAATCAGACCATCTGGGGGTGGGACCTGTCCAGCCCCAGCTTTCAACCAAGCACCTGAGGTTAAGTCCTATGAGCACTTGTGTTACAGTGAATTTACTTAATATGTCTCTCCTAGCCATGGTCTTTGTAACACTCACCAAATGATTGGGTTGTTGTTGTTAAATGCCGTCGAGTAGATTCTGACCCACAGATGCCATGTATAGGGTTTCCAAGGAACAGCTGGTGAGCTTGAACCGCCGACCTTGCAGTTCAAACGACTTTGCAGTCTGGTGCCACAGTGGGATCATGTAAATAGGGTATATGGGACTCTAACGCAGGCATTGGTCAGTTTTACCATCCCACTGGGTTTAAAATGTGCCATCCCAGAAGCAGGAACAGACAGGTGGAAGAGGCAGCAACAGAGGCACTGACACAAAGAGACAAAGCAGTGGGTTTCCCAGCCCATGGAATGAATGAAGTTGAATGCCTTTGGGCCAAAACCTAGTTTGCAGAACACGGTACTCTTTAGGCATCTATCACCCGTGCTTCAAGGAGCTTGTAGCACTTGCCCAAGCAGGGCAGAGGCCAAGAGGCCATGTGACTGAAGGGTCAAGGAGGACAAAAGAAGCGTGCCTATGGTACGGCTGAGAAGAGGCACTCCTGACTGCAGAACTGCTGTACCTTGAGTTGTTTCTGATCCTGACTTGTATCCTGTTTACTTCTCTAAGAAGCCCCATAATTATGAGTATTGTCTATAAGTTCTCTGTGGCCACTGCAAAGAGGTTACCCAACCCAGCAGAGAAGTAGAGTGCCCTGAGAGGGAAGGTTGGTGTCAGAATAAGATAAAGAAGGGCAGAGGGTGCAGGCACGCCACCTTCTGCTTCAGAGGAATCAATCGTCCATGAGTTGATGTGGACTGATGATTCTCCTCCTTCCCCCTTATGAAGCTGGAGGAGGTCAGATTATACACATATATATGCCATGAGTTGGAACCAACTTGACAGCACTTAATAACTCATGGCAACTCTGTAAAGGGTTTCCAAGGCTTTAAATCTTCACAGGAGCAGAAAGAGAGATGGATAGATAGATGTTGTTGTTGTTGTTGTTAAGTGCCATTGAATTGATTCCAACCCATAGCGACCCTGTATAGGGTTTCCGAGGAGCAGCTGGTGAGCTTGAACCACCGACCTTGCAATTCAAACAGCTTTGCAGTGTGGTGCATTAACCCACAGTGCTACACCAGGACTCCGGATAGATAGATAGATAGATATACCTATATAAGCACCTATATAAGCATAACTAGCATATGTAGTTATTAAGTGCTGTTGAGTCAGTTCCAATTCCTAGCAACTCTGTAAAGGGTTTCCAAGGCTTTAAATCTTCACAGGAGCAGAAAACCTCATCTTTCTCCAGCAGAGTGGCTGGCAGGCTTAAAACACAAACCTCGTGGTTTGCAATCCAGTGCTTACCATATGGATGGCATCAAGCTCTAACTATCATATTGTTGTTGTTAAGTGCCGTCAAGCAGGTTCCAACTCATAGCGACCCTGTATAGGATTTCCGAGGAGTGGCTGGTGAGTTTGAACCATCGACCTTGTGGTTCAAACTGACCTTGCGGTCCAGTGCTTTATCCCACAGCACGACACCAGAATTCCGTAACTATGGGCATATATGAACATCTTGGTCGGGGGGGGTGGGGTGGAGGGAGTGTAGAGGGCAGGTACTAAATCCTCATAAGGTTTTTAGTGGCTAAACAATCCGAAGTAGTCCACCTCTCCTTCATTAGAGTTCGATCTGTCTTAGTTGTGATCTAAACCCTTACTGCAGCCCCAAACTGTCCCCCAAATTCTCTTAACTCCATCAAGTTCCACTGTATCCAATTAGGACTATCTCAAACCTCAGTATCAGAAACACAGATATTTTAAAGATCACGGGGCGCATGGACTAAGATTGAGGACAAACAGTAAATAATGCAGAGCAGGGCAAATACTATTTCATATGTTGCTGTTACATTCCTAGGATACACTACTTACCAGCCGAGTATTTACCACAGGAAAAAGCAATGCCAGAAGAGCCCCATTCAACATGTGCATCTGTAGCCTAGAAGGGGGGAAAAAAAGATACGAAGTCCAGGTCACATTCAGACTCTGATGTAAAGGGAGGGAACAAACTTGTCAGGTTAAATCATACCATCTGGGAGGCTACGTTACATGTGGCTCTCAACATAAACCAGCACTAGAGTTTACACACACGTGAAATAAATTAAAAGCAGCATATTTTTTTAACAAAAGAAATTTTTCTGAAGAGCATCATCACTGCCCCTACATCCTCTCAAACACTTGCTGAACACACTTTGATTATAGTCCTTCATTGCAAAATGAGTTCTAGGTGCCCTGAACATTCAGGCAGTCTCAATCAGCGACTTCAAGTGCTACAACTCACATGGCATTCAAAATGGACTGTGATAGCTCAGTGTTCTGTTATTACAGTAGAAACCCATTTCTTATAACATGGCAGCTTATGCAAACAGCCATGCCAATCCTTTTGCCCAGAGACCTAGGCAGTAAAAGGCTGGTATAGAACCAAGGAAGCTAACTACAGTGTTGTACAAACTGTGTGCCCCAATTTCTTAGAACTGCCTTTAGGGGCTGCTGCATGAGGTGGGTAGGCAAAAGTGCCAGCAACCCACATTTTCTTTGATCTATTTCACATATTGGACTTCAGACTTAAAAACAAAACCACAAAGCAAAAGAAATACACAAGAAGAAAATTGCTCGTCTCCGCATTGGGTAGAGATGCTATTTTCATTATCAGACTTGTTCAGACATATAACAGAAACCTTTTATAAGTCAAGAACAATTAATTCTGGGACAAACTCTGCTGGTGAGAGCCCTGGAGATGGATTTAAGCAGTTTTCTTCATTTTTATTATTAAGGAAAAAGCAAAGAATGGCATTTTGTCCCTCCTAAAGAAGAAAAGTTGCTTTGATGAGTCGTGTAAAACTACCACCAGTGTAATGTGTCTCTAAGACCTCAAAGCACTAAACGAATCTCTTTGTTTCTCTGTCTTGCGAATACAGACAGAGAGAGAGCCGCCTTGGTATCTCCAACGCCCTAAAAAGTCCACACCTTTGCCCTTCTCTTGGAGCTCACAGATATGTGTGCCTAAAACTAAGAGACAGTTGTTGTTAAGTGCCTTCGAGTCGGTTCCGACCCATAGCGACCCTGTACAGGGTTTCCGAGGGTGTAAATCCTTACGGGAGTAGAAAGCCTCATCTTTCTCCCGCAGAGCGGCTGGTAGTTTTGAACCGCTGACCTTAAGGTTCGCAGCCCGATTCGTAACCACTACGCCACCAGTACAAGACAATAAAACTACATTTCTGTCCCCTAGTCTGCTTCTTACTGCTGCTGTTCGTGTAAACAATGCCATGATGATGACGTGCATGAATATAGTCCAGGCTATTATTTAACTCATGGCTTTAGATTCACTCTCCATTCTTACAGCAATCTTATGAGATGTAGGTACTACTACCATTCCCACTTTGTTGATGCAGAAATCAGATCTAGAGAACTGCCCTAGAGCCAGGATTCAAACCCAGTTATCTTGGACCCCAGACCCCAAGCTCTTTTTCTCTCTTTGGCTACTTTATACCAGAGTCTCTCACCCTCCAAAATAGGGCCACAGAGAGGAATCAGGGATGCCTCTTTGCCAGATCATTGCCACATATATCTTTTGAAAGTCTTTTGTTTTCTGTACAGGATAGTGTGATGAGTTGGCTTCATTGGTAAGAATATGGAGGCAATAGAAGAGTCAGGGGTTTGATCCTCTTTCAGGCCAGTTAATTTCATTAATCTAGTTCCGGAAACACTGATCAATACAATACTGTGTGCCTAACACGAAAGCTGGACAGCGAATAAGGAAGATCGTAGAAGAATTGATGCCTTTGAGTTGTGGTGTTGGAGGAGAATACTAAAAGTGCCATGGACTGCAAAAAGAACCAATAGATCTGTTTTGGAAGAAGTGCAGCCAGAGTGCTCCTTGGAAGCCAGGATGGCTAAGCTTTGTCTCTCATACTTTGGACATATTGTCAGGAGGGAATAGTCGCTGGAGAAGGATGTCATGCTGGGTTAAGTGGAGGGTCAGAGAAAAAGAGGAAGACCCCCAATGAGATGGATCAGCCAGGTGGCATCATTGATGGTGTCAAGTGTGGCAGAGGTAGTGAGGTTGGCCCAGGATCGGACATTGTTTCATTCTGCTGTGCATGGGGTCACTATGAGTCGGTTCCGACTCGATGGCACCTGACAACAACAACAACACGGTTCTACGTGCTGTATGGAAAAGAAAAAGACATAAGACACCATACCTGCACTCAAGAATCTAACAGTCCGATGCTGGGATAATTTATTTAAAGTTCACTTTCGGCCACTTCCCTTTTACAAAAGAACTATATGAGCACTTGTTTTCACTAACCAAAAGAAATCAGGAGAAGATGTTCACTTTTACAAAAAAAGGCAAAAAGTGAAACCAGTGTCCAGTGTTTGTTTTGTAAGTGAGAGGCAGCGAGCACCCCAGCAGTGAGAGTGGAGCTGTCTGTCATCATCTCAGCATCAAACTGCCACAGCTTTGAACTGTCTGTGAGGACTATATGTTAGTATTATTTTAGGGTTTGTGTGTAGTAATTTGGTATGATTTGGTAGGTTATTTTTAGGGGTCTGGGCATGCTCAAAATTTTTTCCCATATAAATTCATAGTAATTGCTTCTTCACTGTATACCATTTTGGCTGTCAAAAGGTGTCACGGGAATGCTCTACTTTGGGACAGCAGGGGAAACTTGTATAAAGGTTAGTTAAGAACAAAGAGTTTGGAATCTATGTTATGTTCCAACTAATTACGAGCCAAGTGGTTCTGGACAAGTCCCTTAAAATTATGTGTTTCATTGCACTCAATTTAAAAGTGACGCTCATAGGGACACCTCACTATTCTCTAGCTATAAAACCTAGGCAGAATGCAAATAGCAAGTATTTGAAATTGGAAAATTAAATAATGGCAGGAGGACTGCGAAAGAAGACCACCAAATTATAGTCTCCAGGATCTCCCAGTCTGAACTCAGTGGGCACCAACGAGCAGAAAGAGAAATATCCAGGGTAGCCCTCTAGTTGTGGTGTGAGAAAGGGAACTCGGAATGTGTGGAAATCCTCCTTTCTTTTTTCAACTCTGTCACACTCCAGCCCCCAGATCATCCAATGAGAGCAGAGGCAGCCTGTTGTTGTTGTTAAGTGCCGTCGAGTCAGTTCTGACCCATAGCGACCCTGAACAGGGTTTCCGAGGCTGTCAATCTTTACGGGAGCAGAAAGCCTCATCTTTCTCCTGCAGAGCAGCTGGTAGTTTTGAACTGCTGACCTTGCGGTTCAATGCCCGATTCGTAACCACTATGCTACCAGAGCTCCTACGAAGCAGCCTATAGCAACAGGTATCCTCCATTTGGTGGCTCTGTGATACCAAAAGTGTGGAGACAATCATGTTGTATTTTTTCTGTCTTCTTGACACGACCTCAAACGTGGGTGACATTGTGAAATTTCCCCTCAGAGTGGAGTCACCAAAGTTTTCATTTTCTGTTTATACAGGACTAAAAGAGAAAACTGGAAAGTGGCTCAAGAGAGAAAGGAGCCCAAGGAAGCAAATCCCATAAAGTTGCTGATGAGCATGCATGAATCTCACTGAAGGACCACAGCATGCCAAAGACATGAGAAAAAAGCTAACAGAGCACACACATGGGACAAGGGTCTAAAAACGGAACTGACATTGGAATCACACGTCAGAGAAGGCAGCTTGGAACTCGTTCCCTAAATCTAACCAAGCCAATTACCTGCTTAGAAAACATAAACTCACTATTTTCCTTAGGATTTAAACAAGACCGAGTTATCTGACACTCAAAATGTCCCGAACAGCGTCCAAAATTACTTGGCATACAAAGACCCCCCAAAAACACAAGACTTTAAAGCAGATATAATAAAAGTGTTCTAGAGTCCTGGTGTGGCACTGTGGGTTAATGCTCTGGACTGCAAAGTCGTTTTGAACTGCAAGGTTGTCAATTCTGCTCACCAGTCGCTTCTTGAAAACCCTACACAGGGCCACTGTGGGTTAGAACCGACTCAAGGGCACTTAACAACAACAACAGCAAGTAATTGGGGAAACTCTTAAATCTAATAGAAAACCAGCAAAGTTTAGCAAAAAAAAAAAGACGCTATAAGAAAAATCAAATGGAAACCTTAGAATTAGAAAGAACAACCCAAATTAAAAACAAACTCACTGGATATGCTCTATAGCTCAGCTGCTAACCTTAAGGTGGGCAATTGGACCCCACCAGCTATTCAGCAGGAGAGCGAGCGGTGTGACCGTTTGTTTCCATAGAGATTACAGTCTTGGAAACCCTACACGGCAGTTCTACCCAGCCCTATAGTGTGCTATAAATTGGAATTGAATTGATGGCAATGAGTTCCAAACCAAAGATAAAAGAAATTGTCAAGGTATCTGAGGGCAGATGAATAGAAATTTTCCAATCTGAACAAAACGGTGAGGTGGTGGTGGTGTGCAATTGAGTCGGTTGATTCATGGTGACCCTGTATAAAGTTTCCAAGCCTGTAAATCTTTACGGGAGCTAAAAGCCTCATCTTTCTCCCACAGAGTGACTGGTAGTTTCGAACTGATGACCTTAGGGTTAGCAACCCAGCCCATAAACCATTATGATACCAGGGCTCCTTAATAGGGTGAGGGAACACTGAAAAGAAAACAAAAGAAAAAAATGCCTCACAGGCCCTTAGGATAACTACAGAAGGTCTAACATTCATGTCAAGAAACTCCCAGACTCGGCGATGAAAGAGTACACAGACTTAAAAAAAAGAAAAAGAATGCTAAAAACGTTTCAAGCTTGATGAAAGACATAAACCTACAAATTCAAGAAGCTGAACAAAACCCTAAATAAAGAAATTTTCTGCGGGACACATAATAATCACATGGCTAAAACTAAACACAAAGAAAATGTTGACAACACCCATAAATTAATAAAGGAAGGGTCATCTATGGAATGACTGAAGATTTCA